GTGGTCGCATCTTCTTCTTCTGAACTGCTTCCTGGAGCTCGCATATTCACTTCTATCGGCAGATAGTAATGCCGGCAAAGACTATGGAGGCCCAAGGTAAAGGCGGAGAAGGACAAGTTAGTCCCATTAGCGGTCGGTGAACGTCTGACAACGAACCCACACCCCAGCTATTGAGCCACGGGAAACTGACAGGACAACGAGCCCGTAGCCCAACGGTCAGAGCGCAGGACTTTTCAACAACAAGTGGCGGGTTCGAACCTCCGGGATGGCAAAACCTGGGGTTGTGTATGACATTTGATTAAGGTTAATACACCAGAAATGGCCAGTCAATTCTCTCTTATTTGATCTCTTTTACGTCATATTGCTCGCTACTGTGTGGCTGCACCCAATTGAGTCCAAAGTAACAAAGAAACGATAGTGTCCCGTAACGCGATCAGTGAGCCAACTTCTACCATAGTTAGGAGTCCGGCCGACATATTGACAGCTGAAGGACGCTATCTGATTGGTACCATTTCAGTTCTACGTTAGACATTCCCGTATGCTAATTTTGGGGGTGTAGGGGATTTCCACTTAAGGGTTTCACCGGATAGCTTGTAGCAGGTCACATCACTTGCCTCATGCAGGTGGTTGCTATCCCTAACCGCCTCCCTAAAATTATGCTCGGCCTAGCGGCCCCACCCCAGTAACCATCGCGACCGGCCGGCTAAACCGGATGAGGGCATCGAGTGTTGCGTGCCCTCCAAAACGATATTTCAACTTCTCCTCCCCCCTTTCCGTGTTAAAATCTCGTATGAAGAGGACGGCATAAAGCCCGTAGGCGCCTCGGGTTATCTCGGGTCGCTCTACACTAAACAAAGCCCTGACTCATAGGGGAGTTTGGCAGCCGTCTGGAGCGTCTAGGTAGCCCTTTTTAGGGGCAGCACCACTTACCGCCTCGCAGAGGAAGGGTCTAGAAAAGGTGCCCTAAACAAATGCTTGGATCACGCCCTCTGCATGCAGACCTTGGCTCGCATTTCGCTTACATGCGGCCGGAACAAACAAACAGCAATGCCTCCCCCACCTTTGTCTTCGCTCGAAGCTGCTTTTGCGCCTTTTTGGTCGTTTCCCTGCCTTCGACTTTTCCTGGCCAGGTTGGAGACGTGACAATAGTAGTTTTCTACGGATTGCGATTCAGCCCCATAATGGGTTCCGTGGCATTACTGCTTTTAAAAGGGGATCATGCATCATCTGCTTTTTAGGTTTAGTCTAGAGACCCCTGACACCTGATGCTATACAGTAGTCGCCGGTTATTAAGCCCACGGTTAATTGGCCCAGCA